CCTGTCTGAGGCGCCTGGGCGGACCCGTCATCGTCTCCATGCATCTAAATGCGCCTCCATTCCACAACACTCACAACACTGCGAACCGTCGTCGTAGTCGTCGTCTGCTGTACACGTACACACTACGGTTACACAGTTCCAAGCTGCGTCTCGTCCTGCAAAGGTTGCAATTGAACAGACCAGAACGAGAACAAGGTACTTACTACGCCTTCCCCCTCCGGAAACGCCAAGTACCCAGGAAACGCCAATCCGGGGCAGCTCTGTGCCTCGTGCCTGCGTCTGTCTGCTGTGCGCTGTTTGGTTCATCCATCGCCCGCTGTCCCACACGATGCAAGTCGAATCAAAATGCGAATCGAGTGTGCCTGTTTGCTGCGCATGGTTACCCGACCTCGCGTCACTGGCGGCCAAGTCAAAGGTCAAGACGGACAACCTTGGAAGTCGGACAGACAAAGGTGCCGCTGCCCCACGGAGCGCATTGCATTGCACCGCAACGATTCCTCGTCCAACGTGCTCTGTTTCCCACCGCCTCTCGCCCGAATCCTCGAATTCTGAGTATGTCAGTCAGTCAGACTGTCTCTGTCCAAGACGCGCGTGGACCGAGGTAGACTTGCCAACGCAACGCACCACCTCAAGCCTGCCAGTCCCATCTTAGCCGATGATCCGTCTTGTCGCGCGCCTTCAACGTCTGCAACTGGCTTGTTCGTCATTCCTCTTGATAAATCGTCCTCCACGAGCACTGCAAACAACCAGCAAAGGTCCGTTCATATCGGGGCGGCGCAAGGAAAGGACGGAAGATCTCAATCGGCCAAGACTTTCACTTGTTTTACGCATTACGCTATCTGAGGTAGGAGAGCCGATGTACCTGGTACCTAGGTCGGATCATTCGCTCCCTCTATGCCACTATCATCTATGGACCCTGTTAAGCTCCCCTCCCTCTCCACGACAACCCGACCCCTCAAGGAATGGGAGAGTGCTAGGCTCGGGGAACCAGATTGACCAGTGTTCGAACTTGAATACCATGCACCTGCACATGCACCACACACCACGACTATGAACCCATTTACCGCAACCCTCCCTCCGACAAACCAATTGCCCAATGCCGCGCAAGTCTTGCCAGCCCGACCCTACGCCGTACTACCACGGCCTACAGGCTATGGGGGCCCGGAAGCGGGACGGAGCTCCATGAATCTGCAACTCGGCCAATCTGCGCCGCGTCGCGCCTTTGGTCATGACGGATTGGTTCCTAGAGGGGGATTTCTTCTCCATGGCGCCCATCGCGCGAGCAATCAGTTCATGATCCATATGTCATCATTTACCACCGACTTCAACTTAGTCATGGACAATTGACCCGGAAGCGTCGAAGTGTCCGGCCTTAATTTCACTTTTCTGCTCAGGTCAGTAACCCGGACCCCGAACCATCAACCGGACTGCCACAACACGATATCCCGTAAAACGAAATTGTTCAATCTTGTTCTCCCATTTCCACCAGAAAAGTCCGACAAGACGGCCTCCGCCGCCCAACAACGCCGCGGACGCCGCATCCCCTAAACTGGCAACTTGCGACTGGCACCTCGTCCAGCCAGCACCGTTGATGTCTCAAGCCCCCCTCCTACGACCAATCCGCAATGATCACTGGTTGTTCTCAACTTGACCATGGCGTACGGCCACGGGCGGCGGTCTAAACCCTCTCTGCTAAGCCTCCGAGGGGAGTAGGGAGTCGGCGTCCCTAGCGCACGTTTGCCTGCGCACGCTGCCTTCTGTATCTTTCTGTCAAGTCTTGTCTCACTCGCTGCACCATTGTGAGGCAGGCCACACCACAAAACGCCTCAGCGTTTCGCGCGCTAGGTGAGGTTTTACCTCGACGGCTCTAACCTCCTTTCCTTGCGCGCGCGCCGTCGGCTCCGCCTGTAGCACTCCCTGATCCATGGGCAGTGCCAATGGTCCGATAGATTTCTCAACCCTCAATGCCATTTGCAACTCAAGCTTTGGCCGGTTCCCTTTGAGGTTTTGGGCATTACTGATGATCCGCTTTTGATCTGATTGACAGGTCTGGTGGACCGCCCATGGTTGATTACTTTATGTCTGCCACGCTTTCTAGCCTAACCTAACTACCTAACCTAACCGTCAGTGTCGGTGGTTGCTACCAATGCATTTCGTCGAGGGTCCCTTGCTGAGAGGGATATTATCGAACAACTGCGCCTATCGATAATCATGCTCCGTTGTCCCCCTCTCATGTTCCACCTCACTCGACTCAGCCCCTCCAGCTCCTACCACTGCGGATACTCTCCTCGCGTACCCGGTTTCTACGGGTGCAACGAGTTGCACGGCAGCTGGACCCTTGATTTGCTTTCAATGCGTACGCAAACGCGCAACGAACGCTCGGTAGCTTCTTTTTGATCGACCGCCCGTCCGCCACAATACTACGGTATGATACACCCGAGTTCTTTCATAGGATATAGGGAAATCTCCACTGTTTTGATCGCCTGCGGATGCGCAAGCGTGGCCGCAGGGAGTAGATCCCGCCAGAGTTGTGAGTATTCCCGCGGATGAACTGCCACTGTCAGTGCTGCAAAACCACCAGGTAAATGTTACCCGTGCTCCCCTCCACAATGGGCAACCGGACATGGATACGTTCCCATGCCACTTCACCGACGTCGGGAGCTATCATGTGGAAGAACGACAACCATCTCCTCGAAAAAGTCAAATCAACCTTTCGAGGCGGCCCTCCAAATGGCTAGCTAGCAACCAAGGCAAGAAGACCCCCACCAGCATAAACGTGAGTAACTTTCGTGTTCTCTTGTAGGGAAAGGCTTTCGAATAGACTCCCTTGATGATCGGATCTTGTCCAAGAGGGTGTGAAGAGGTTCGATTCGATCCCAACACTTTAACAATACCAACTGATATTTCCTCGTCTGGATCACGTACGGCACGCACCAAGGTCGGCTAGGGAAACATGACATTCTGCCAGCACCTCCGCCGAAGAAACAGAACCTCCTCTTAAAGACTTCGTAAAGACGCCAGCCCAATCCGTCTCGGCTTGACTTATTGAATACTATGGTCCATAACACATCAGGACAGAGAAACGCACACAGCCAACGAAACGGGCCATTGTAAGCAACACGGATCACGCCTCACACAAGTCGTAAACGTCAACTGGGCCGGAATCTGCATCACACAATCCTCTGCCCTCTACTCTTCTCGCACACTTTGATCCAAGCAACTCTCCATACCCGGGCTGTACTCGCAGCGTATTCTGACAGGAGACCGTAAGAGACATAAGCACCTCCTCCCGTTCTCCCCATCGCATCGTTACTCCGTTTCTCTCCCTCTTGATAGGATCCAACAAACCTCTCTTCCCATCGTCCACTTGTAGCCATGAACAAAACATGTGAAAACTGCATGTCTCACCTCTGCGTTTCGTCTTGTCCTGCAGAGCAAGTCACCCCCACGAGCATACCAATACCAAGGTCTCAACTACACTGCACTACCCGGCATTAGTAGCTCAAAGTCCTTGGAAAGTTCCGAGTCTATCCGTCAACCCGTGATGCCGCGATGTCCCCCTCCCACCGCCTCGGAAACAACATTTCGCTTCAAACTAACCGGCTGGCCACATGGGGAGCTCTTAATTATCACGTTATCTAGAACACGCATCTCACTTGCCAGCATCCTATTTACTCACGCGAATGCATGTCTAGAACCCGGATCGCAGCCAAACCCATCCCTCGCACACACACCCCCCCCCCTCCTCTTCCTCCTTCTCCTCCACCAAATACATCGTAAGCCACAGAGCGGTCAAGGCCCCAAAACCCCAAAAAACCCAACTCCACGAACCCGACAAACTCAGGTGCACCACCACCCGAGATCTTCGACTGTTCCCCCTTCACCATTCTGAAAAAGTACCAGAGGAAACCAAAATCACCTTCTCCCATCACTCCGCCAACGCCAGCGAAAGATGCGCTGTACCTTGTGTCGCGGGAGCGGGCGGCGGGTAGCGTCAGCCAGCGGGGAATACACGGAAAGCCCGCCGACTCCAACTCCTTCTCACATGCCCCCCGACCAACACCCCCGGCCACGATCACCCTCCTAGCTTCGATCAAAGGACGATCCAACTACTACAACGCATAAAGGCTCCTCTTAGTGGGCAGAGATCGTGACGAAATATCGAGGTGGGGGAGCGCCAGCATGTGCACTGCAGAAAACAAAAATAAAAACGTGGAGAAATAACATGATGCACATTACCATGTCATCACTTGATCCAGCACCATCCCGGTAACATGACAACAAAACAAGTCACGAACAAGTCACGACTGCCTGGGAAACGGACGTGGTTTTTTTTTTTTTTTACTGGTGGGAAAGAAGACTCATTGAAAAGTTATCTGGCGGGAACCTGTGCTGGAAAAAAGCACACAACGACTGTAGGGGCATGGCCATTTCCCATGTGATCCAACCAATCTGCCCTAAAGGAAAGGTTTCATATTTTGTTAGTTCCTCTTCCCGCTCAAGACCCATTCTCTCTTTTGTTCAACTTCCTCGTATACATCGTGATCCTGCGTCACTCTCTCCTTCGTTTCCCCCCCCCTCCATCAATAGCTGGCTGGTCTCGAGGCCGAAAAGGAAGAAGAAGAAAAAAGAAAAGCATGTGCAAATCACTCAGCCCGCTGGCCAATGTAATCCCCCAACTCCAAGATCTCATGCCGTGGCCGAGATCGTTTTTGTTTGCGTGTATGCGATAGCAAAGCCATGTCGCCTTTACTCGATGAGGCCGCCGTCTCGCGGAAGCGTGATCGAACCAATGCTGGCGTCTTCTTCATGGCGTCAAAAGGATTGCATGTGTGTGAGAGAGAGTTTTTTGAGGTGTGCCGCACTCCAGGAAGAAGTATTGTACAGTTAAAATAACAAGTGACATCCAGACGGCGCGAGGACGATGGTGTAGTTGAGAAGAGCGCATCTGGGGAGGGCGGAATATCCTGGAGAATGACAATCGTAGGTGTAGTGACCGCTTAGACATCCCACTCCTCCTCCTCGGTGCTAAGGGCGGAGAAGGATCCAAAGTTGGACGTGACGGGCTTTGCAGCCTTGCCATTGGAGGCAGGCTTCTGAACGGCCTGGGCGATGGGGCGAGCCGGAGCCGGAGCGGCGGCGGCGGCGGCAGCGGCAGGCTTGGCAGCCTCGGGGGAAGGGGAGCGGTTCTCCTTCTTGGACTTCTTGGACTTGGCGGGAACAGTATTCCACTCGTCCTCCTCCTTGAGGCGCTGAATCTGCTCCTCCTCAGAGGGAAGGGAAGAGATCCAGTTGTTGGAGGTCTGGGCGGGAGCGGCAGCAGAGGTGCCGTTCTGAGCCGGAGCATCGAAGGTGTCGAGAGGCTGAACAGCAGCGGAGGTGCCGTTGGTAGCAGAGGCACCGTTAGGGGAGCCGGCGGTCCAGGCGGACTTGTTGCCGTTGACGCTGGCCATGAACTGGGAGCCATCCTTGGCGGGGATGCCGGCGGCCTCGCGAGCGGTACGGCGCTGCTTCTCGAGCTTGACCTTGCGCTCCTTCTCCTCCTCCTCGCGGGCGGCTCTCTTGGCCTCAACCTTTTGGCGGTTCTGGCGCTGCTTCTTGGTCTCAGCCTGCTCGGGGGCCTTCTGCTTCTTGGCCTTGGCCTTCTCCTTATCGGTGCCGGTCAGGCGGAGGACGGAGGGGCCGGATGCGGTGGGCTCGAGCATGTCATTGACGCCGCTGGGGTCGGCAGGGGTGACCTCGGGGGAAGCGGCAGGGGAGCTCTCCTCCTCTTCCTTAACAGCCTCGACGGCGGGGGCAGAGGAAGCGGCGGGCTCCTCCTCCTCGGTGACCTCGACAGGCTTCTTCTCGGCAGCACGCGATTGCTTGACGGACTTGGTCTTCTTCTTCTTGGCATCAGCAGCAGACTTGCCATCAAACTTCTTGCCCTCCTTGACACTGGCCATCCTCTTGGCGAAATCGGCATTATCAGCTTCCTCCTTAGGGTCATTGCTCAGCCATGTGCTAGAGGGATCGACTGCGCTCGTGGAAGCCTTCTCCTCGGGCTTTTGTGAAGCAAAGGCAGCCTTTCGCTGCTTCTTTGCGTTGGTGTCCTTCTTGGGCTCAACATATGCCTTGGCAGTCTTGGCAATCTGCGCAGGCTTCTTGTTGCCAGAGTAGTTGTAGATCAAGCCACCAGCGACGAGGAAGCAGACAAGGTAACCGCCCACGGTCTGGGTGTTGAGAAAGTCGGAGACTGTCATTGTTGCGATTGTGGATGGCGCAGAAACGCTACCAGATGGGTATTAAGGGGTATGGTAGATTATGCAACGTGGTGCAGTTGAGAACAGCAAAGACCACGGTTTGTCGGATCAAGGGCCGCAAGAGCTCAGGGTGCCGTTGAGGGTCACGGTGTATCTTCGATGCCTCACTGATGGAGACGTTGTGGGGAGAGAGAGATTCGGACGACTGGATAATGGACAAGTTAGCAATGGAGTCCAATTTGTGCTGAGCTCTGCACACGGGAGCAGATGATCCGAGATGTCTGGGGCAAGCGCCGATCGGAGAACATACAGGTGGAAGGTGCGCAAGGGGAGATGTGGGCGCAACAATGGATGGGTTGCTTGAGGATGAAAGGCAAGGTGAGAGCGGTGATGCTCGGGGGGTTGGTGGGTTTGTTGAGGGGGAGAAACAACAAGAATTGGGTAAAAGTGAAGAAGGAAGAAGGGCGATTGAGGAGGCGTTTCGACCACGCGGTTGAAAGACGGCTTGGATGTCGTGTTCAGATGCAGGTAGCTTGGCAAGGAGAGACAGGCCGAAAAAAAAAGTTACCAGGTGGCTTCTCAGCAAACTGTGCCTGCGGTACCGCCAGTGGCCCAGGGCAGGTCCAAGGTGTAGAGGCTAGAGCCAGTAGCAAATGGGGGTTTTTGGCTGAGGCAAGCGCCCGGGGTTCATGCCACGGAAGCAAAAGCCGACCTACGGAATAGGTTGGACCACTGGAGAGGTCCCACGGGTAGCTGCTGCTACTGCTGCGGCTGCTCGGTGTGGCTATGTGCTCCAGGTATTCAATCTGTAAGGTGCTGCACCAAACCCTGGGCTGCGTCGGGCCCGAGTCTCCAGGAGTGGGAATTGCGTATGAGGATTGGTGTCCTCTTTTGCCGCAGGTCCCCAGGGATGTGTTTCTGGCTGGCCGAGCTCAGATGAAGCAGCAAGATAAAAGGCAAGACGAGGGAGTGTGTGATGTGAGATGCGACGAGGAAGAAGAACAATTGAGGAGAAAATTGCACTTACTTGCTGTACGGCTGCTCTTCTGAGCGATCTGATGTTTCTTTCCTCGAGTTAAGCAAGGGATGTAGGTGAGGTAAGGGTAGGTAATGGAGGTAGATGAGGTTATCTCCAGGGTGCTGTTAGGTAATTTCCTGGATCTCCAAAGTGACAGCTTCGCGTTTCCACGGGGTTGAGGGACGTGGACCCGCCTTTTCTTTTGGGGCTCGGCTGTCAGCACGGACTCGGGAGAACTTGAAAATTGGGGACATGTCACGTGTTTGGGAGGCAACGACTGATGGAAGACAAGGGAGCAATCATCAACCTGGAAGGTGTCACTCACACGTGACTGTGATGACTTCCCTCCATAAGAACTCTCCGTGATTGGGCGGAACGATGTCAAGGTCACAGTGCTTGCTGTCAGGGCATCAAGTCAATTGACAACCGCCAAACAATGTCATTGGAGACTTGTCGGACTCGGAGGTTACCTTGATATCCCGCGGGCCCGGCCTGTTAAACCGAAAAGCAAAAACTGTAGAATTAAAAATAGGTTTTTTGCAGACAGCTTTCCTTCGGTAGGTTCACGTGAGTAAGGTACCCTCATCCAAGTAAACTTCCCGAGGCCCTTCCGTTTCCCACGTCTCATCCAATGTTTGCAAGGTCCAGAGTTGCAACTTGCCGCATGTCAGATTCCTTTCCCTTGGCTTTCCCGATAAGAGCTGGGGGCAGCTTACCCGCCTACCTTACCTCAGGTGCCCAATGCCCCCAAAGTCCCCCAAAGTCCCCCAAAGTCCCTATTTTCCAAGGTTTCCCGCAGCGACCTGCCTCAAGCTTATCGACAACAACTGGATCTCGGTAGCTCAAAACGGCTTAGCGTGTCATGTCTCTCTCCATCATTTGCACCGCAACAACCACAACCCCACCATTGATCCCCCTCGACGGCGGCGCATTTGACGCTTCTAACGATGAGGGGTTCGGCCGCTCGGTTGCCCGCCCGTCTCAACTATGCCAACTTCTCAATGCGACACCGACGCCCTTCCTATTGACACAAAAAAGACCCGGCGAGAAGGCAGGAACGACGGAGTCACACCGTCAAGGCCACATCACATCTCCCGGGGCGCCGGGTTGCTTATTTCAAGGTGTCTATACCGGAGACAGGCGGAGACCGGACACCTCCGTTCAAGCTTAGCTCACGTGCCCGCAGATGTCCGCTCCCCCCACCACTCCCCCATCAACATTTGGTTTCCTATATCACTAATGTTTTCCCCAGCTTTCTTAAGTGATTTAATCAACTGTGTAATTTGAGACGAAGTCATTCTCGTCTTCATTGAACACTTTTCAACCCAATTTCAAGAGATTTCTTCTGAATCAAACATCGCAGCCATGGCTCCCAAGAACCGCGTCATTATCGATTCCGACCCAGGTGAGATATCAATGAGCGAACCCCCCAAAAGTACTGTGATGTGCAACTAGGCTTACACATCTCTGCCAGGCATTGACGATGTCATGGCCATGCTCCTGGCCCTTTCGGCCTCCCCTGAGGAGCTCGAGGTCATGATGATCTCAGTTACCTACGGCAACGTGCCTCTCCAGAGGTGAGTTTAATGCTGCGCAAATAAACATTAGAAACCCTTGGTCTAATCGTTTACGATGAAGCTGCCTGAAGAACGTCGTTGCCCTCTTCCACGTCTTGGAAAAGGAGATTGCATGGCGCAAGGAGAATGGAAAGCCCGAGGGCTTCGAGTCCCTCAAGGCCTACAAGCCCATCGTATCAGTCGGTGCCGAGCACGCTCTGGAAGACGACGAGCTGGCCGCCGATTACTTCCGTAAGACACACTCCTCGGTTCAACCTCTCCCAACTTCCATCTCCTGACTCTCCTCCAGACGGACTCGACGGCCTTCACGGCGTCCACGAGAAGCACCCCCACCTCTCCCCGGACGACCGCTGGCAGTCCCTTTTCCACACCGAGAAGAACGTGGACCACGACCCCTCGCCCTTTAACCAGTACTTCACCCCGGCCAAGCAGGTCGCCCACAAGGAGATCCTGCGCATCCTCAAGGAGAACGAGCCCAACACCATCTCCATCTGCGTCGTCGGCCCCATGACCAACGTCGCCCTCGCCGCCGCCGAGGACCCGGAAACCTTCCTCCGCGTCAAGGAGCTCTGCGTCATGGGCGGCGCCGTCCACGTCGAGGGCAACATCACCCCGCACGGCGAGTTCAACACCGTCGCCGACGCCGTCGCCGCCGCGCGCGTCTTCGCCCTGACCTCCCCGACCCCGCGCTCCACTATGCCGCCCATCTCGGACAAGAAGTCGTCCCTGCCCCCTTACCCGGCCAGGCTGTCCAAGAAGCTCAAGCTGACGCTGTTTCCCCTCGACATCACGACCCCGCACCTGCTCCGCAAGAACTACTTCACCGAGACCATCAAGCCCATTGTGGCGTCCGGAAGCCCCCTCGGCCAGTGGGTCAACCACTTCATGTCAAAGTGCTTTGACAAGATCATCGAGATGGAGGGCGACGGACAGGAACCCGGTCTCTCCTTGCACGACCCCTTGACGGTCTGGTACCTTCTGACGCAGTCCGACCCCAAGTGGAAGGCCACCGCGGAGCCGGAGGACATCCGCATCGAGACCACGGGCCAGTGGACGCGCGGTATGCACGTCATTGACCGGAGACTCCGCGTCAAGTACAACGAGGCCGCCCTCGAGGCCAGCGAGACGGGCGATGCCGTCGACGTCCTGACCCTGGCCGAGGTCCCCGGCGACACTGGCGGCTGGCTCAGCACCAGCAGGGGCAACAGGGTCAACAGGATGGTTGAGTCCCCCGGCGAGGAATTGTTTGCCCCAGACCTGATGAAGAGAGTTTTCGGATAAAGATAAGGAGACAAGGGACGTATATTTTCAGCCACCACCTTCTCTATGTGTGTGGGCGTGAGGGCTCTTTTGTTGTTGATGTCTCGTGTCAGCACAAACATGGTTTTGAGACTGTAGCAGCATAGAGAAGAGATCTGGATAGAAGAAGAAAGGCAGGCGCATACCCCGTAGGAAAACCCAATATCATTCTATAGCAACCCCCAAATATGTGCAAACGCCGTTGTTCTTTGTGTGTGTAGGTGTGTGATCATGCGCATGTGCATATGTGCATGAAAATGCGCGCACGCCTGTCTGCCTGCCTGCCTGTCTCAATGGCAGCAGTGCAATCTCATGTCCTTCCCAACATTCGGGTATCCCGCTCGTAATCAAACATCCCGTGACTCGGTATGTCACTCTCATTCTCGAGAACCATGTCTCTGCTCTTGTTTTGCTTTTCCTATATGTATGCGTGGCTTTCATACGTGCTTGGTTCCTCCAATAGCAGAACCCTTGACTTGGGTCCAGTCAATGCTCTCGTCTAGCGCCTCGTCTACCAGGCCGATCGTGCAGACATTGTCGCCTCGGACGAGATAGAGGCCGAGGGGCACTTCGACAGAGGGTTCGCCACTCTCGGGGGTTTGGATGACTCGCTCTTGGGCACTGCTGAGGACCTGGGGCGCAAGATGTGTGTTAGCTAGGTGCAGCTCAGAAGACTCGAGAGAGAGTTGTGAAGGGGGGAGGGGAAGGGGTATTACGAGGTTCGTGGACTGGTCCGCAGCTTCCAATGTGCCCACCAAGATTCGTGAGTCCGACGTCACAATGAGGACTTTCTCTAGTTGGGGGAAGGGCCATTAGTGTGTCATCCGGGAAGCAGCACTCGAGACTGGTAGTTTGAAGAGGACGTACTATTGAGGTAGCCTCCGAGGGTTGCCATGGCTGCGGAGATCTCGAGGTCTGGAGGTGTAGAAGATTTCAAATGGAGATGAGGTAGGTATTCGTGTGGAGAATTGGATCGTCGGCTGCTTGGATTTGTTTGATCAGAGGGTGCTCGGAACTGTCGCCAGTGGTATTATCGCAGTGTTGAATCCAGATGTTTGGCTGGTGAAATTCGGGAATTCTGAGAAGAGGGACCTTGGAGCTCCCAAGCTAGCCCACTTTGGGCCAAGGTAAGCACGACAAGGTCTGGTCTGTGCGCTCCCGGTCGTTCGTCCTTTCCTTTCAACAAGCCGTTAGATGTCACTCGAGCTCTCAGCTGGCGCCAAAGCCATCGCAGCTCATTGCTACAAATCAGCCCAACATGGGTGATCGAATTGTTTCCTTGCCACCTGCAACAATGGAAACCCATAATAGGTCGCCTTCTCCCACTCAATGATGGTCCAGAAACACACCGTTGGCGCCAGTGCCGAGCAGGCGCTCACTCAGCCCTTACAAGTCAAGGCAATTCGCCATGGTACCGAGATTGCTGGCCTCAAAAGGGGATGGCTGCCAAGATCCCAGGCTGAAATATCAAGCTCGGTAGACTGCTGTGCCGCATGAACCTACTCGGCCTGCCATACTCACTGGGCGACAAACCCCGGCAGCGACATCACCTGCTCAATCGGGTGTGGCACTGGGCTGAATTTCGTTTTTGCGCTCTTGAAGACTCTGTGATTGCCTCTTCACCGCTGTGTAGTGGAAACTTTCAATCATGTCACCAGTCGAAAGATATATCTCACTATTCGCAGAGGCGACGGTCCGATTCTCTTTCCTCCCGAGTCAGGATGTATAGCAGCATCACCGCGTTTCCTCGATATGAACATATCTGCTCAAGATGACAGTCCTAGCCAGGGCAAGAAGTACACGCTCAACCAGACTCAAGAGAGAGCGGTACGGCGCTTACTATTTCTGTGCGCATTGGTCTTTGATGCACTCACAGTGACGCTCGTCGTCTTTCTATGCGTCGGCGCATGGAATAAGTCGAGTGGTTTGAGATCGTCAAAAGGTCTAAATAACAGAGAGGCTCACCTCGCTACTGTGAGTCGCACTCGAGGTTGGGAGGACCACCCTCTCTTCCACTCCCGTCTCCATATGCCTGTACTGACAATGGATGACAGTGGTCGGCGGCATATGTCCGGCGATGGCCAGCCGACGAGACCACGGTGGTCTTCAGTTGGCACCTAAGCAGCTACTGCTACTCGTACCTAGGGCGAGAGGCATGTATCCGCCGGGCTCCCGGTGCCCCCTTCGACCTCGATGACATTATGGACGACGTCGCTCTTGCAATAGGAGGTGGTTCGACTTATTCGTCAAGCAGGGGCACCTTTCCGGCTCTGGAATCGCAAGGCATTGACCTCGGGACGGCGTCCAAAGTCACTTCGTCCAAGAACGCGTTCATCGCCTACATCATTTTCATAGTGGCTGTAGCGTGCCTCTGGTCCTGGCACTTCTTCGTCAGCACGGTTCCGGGCGCACCCAACTGTGATCGATTCCTGGCCGTGTCGTTTACTTTAGCGGGGGCGGCGCTGCTCGTCGCCTCGGCCAACACAACCCGTGCGGCCCTTGAGGCGGACGGCATCCTCGCCCAATATGAGAGCGTCTTCAAGTACCACAGCGCCGGTACTTCGACACTCGTCGTCACGTGGATCGCCTCGGCAAGTCATTTTCTCGCGGTTACGATGTATACGGTTGCAGCGGCCATTGGCAAACGACTTCGGAAGCCAGACCGATACCCGCCAGAGTCGGAGCTGTCAGACATATGGCCGACTAATGACGCACACAGGGCGAGGGAGGCGGAAGTGTCAGCGGAAATCGACAGAGATGATAGTTATAGGAGGCGTCTCGAGGCATTCATGCGCGTGCGCGGTCAGAGACGAAGATCAGAACTAAATTCCTTTCGCGTGAACCGCAATAGCGGAGAATACCGGAGGACAGATGCGAATGGCGATATCTGGTTGCCGGTTTACTCGAGGGCCGATCCGATCGCGACGCGTGCACCAGTGAAGCCAAACATTGCGACCAGTCCACCTATTGGAATACCGGATGCAAGCGCGGCTACCGGTGGTCAATCTCGCGCGGGCAATGTGGTCGATGAGCCAGCACCGGCCTATGAGCGGTATCAAACTGCATCATCTCGCCGCCCATGAAGTACTCTGTAAATAGATGGTATTCAAGGATTCCGGATAGCGATATGTTTTTATGTAATATACGATGAGAAGATCTTTGTTATACCCATGTTAGTGTACATTGCTGGAATTCGATATTACACAGTCTACTCAGCTGCATCACAAGTGTGTAATTAGTCAAAAAGTCATGCCGTGGCGGGAGCTGTCCAATTCAAACGGCCGGGGCCGCTGAACCGGCACCAGCTGCACTAAGTTCCACCCCGCCAGGGTCGTGAGCCAAAAATCCTAGCGCGACAACTCCGGGTCCAGCACATCTTAAATCTGACCTCACCCAACCAACTCGTCCCCAAACTTCCTTGACCCAACCACACCTCCCGCTGCCCACGATGTCGTCTCACGACACACCAACCATCTACGCAGAACTCCTCACAAACATCCGTCAGCTCTCCATCGCAGTGACCCTCTCCTCACCAGCAGGAGGACAAACAAGAGCCCTCATCGCCCCCAACGGCGAGACGCTGCACATCCACCACGCAGGCACAGAAACCTCATTCCCGCTGCCCGGGAAAGTTCTCGCCCACGCAGGAGCTCCCGCAGCCTTACCCACACCACCACCGTCAGCATCATCATCAGCCTCGCAAACGCTATCATGGCGTCTCCCGCTAGCAGACTCCCCAGCGGCGCGCAGCGGCAGCACCAGCCTCGCAGATGACCCCGTCCCCTGGACGGCGCGGGACCTCCTCCCCGGCTCGGCCGTAGCGTGCAGACGCTGCGCCGCGGTCGTCGTGCCCGGCGGGAAAGCGGGGGAGTGGAAAGACCTGCCGAGCGAGAACTGGGCGGAGATGATGGATTTCTGGCACTGTCATAAGCCTAGCACGGATCGCGAGGATGAGCATGAGCACGGCGGCGTGAGCGGAGAGGGCAAGGAGAAGGATGACCACGAGCATCTGACTAGGCGCGGGTACGGAGCCAACTCGTCCATTGCCGCGCAGCCTGGCGTAGGCATGGTAGATTTGACGTCGTTTCTGTTTTGCGAGGCTGATTGTGTTGGTCTCAAGGTAAGCGGCTATCTTTCTCTCTCTCTTTCTTCATCTCTGTTTTGTCACTCGCATTTTCAACACATCATGTTGGGATTCGTCTATTCGATACATATAACCGTGTATCCTCAAAACACGGGGGCATCAAGAAGGAGGCCATGTCGGCAGCAACACGCTACCAACTCAGTGATCTGGTCACCGATACTCCGCCCCTATATGAACTATCCAAAACGTACGCCGTCGTCCCCGCCCTTGCGCAGGGGGTGCTTTCAAAAGTGCAAGACTCCGAAGCCTCTACACCCCCTCGTGTGTGTAAGATGGTTTCTGGGTCTTGTACTTGGGTTCGCAAAAGACGGTTGGCCCTCTTGCTTTCACTGGGGTTGTCCAGAGCCTCGGAGACACCGGGATAAACAGCGAGGGACATTGAACGAATACCTTTTCCATTTCGCGTATACAGTCACGATCCGTTCCGTATACTCTTCCTCTTCGTCTTCACTCTTCTCTCCTTACTTACACTTCTTCTCTCCACTCCAGTTCTCTCCCCCATCATCAGATGCCGCACCACCGGCATCCTCCAGCTCAGAAGTCCTAGCTGGAGGAGGAGCAGGAGACTCCGACTCTGATTCTGCGTCTGATCCCACAGAACCACCCCCTCGGATGCTCAACATCGCCTGCTCCGCCTGCGCCTCCCACCTGGGCTTCTTCAACGTAGCCATCTCCTCCGTCGTTCTGCTAAAATGGCAAGTGTCATGCCAGACAAGCACATCACACCCCACGGCCACGGCGACAGCACTGCCCTCCAGCACAGACTGCCTAGCCGCGACCCTCATCGCGACCCTCTCCCGCTCAGGCTCCTCCAAATCAGTCGTCGTCCCGGCCTTCCAATCCACCCAGAACCCAGTTTCTTCTTCCTCCGGCGATGGCGGCGACGCCGCACCGCCTGCCCTGCACCTCTGGATCCTCAACAGCAACATCACCTACGCCTCCTCTTCTTTTCCCTCTTCTTCTTCTTCTCCTCACCAACGCACAAAACGCGCAGCCATAAAACTGCTATACAAAGAAATCTCCCAAGCCGAAGCAGACGACATGCTCGAGTCCATGACGTCCGACGTGCAAGAGGTCAACCTCCCTCTTCCGGCCATCGTCGCCGCAGCGGAGGGGTTGAAGCAGAGTAGTCGGTTTTTACCGCCTGGTGAGCGGGTGTTCAAGGGGTGGAATGTGGGCTTGTTGGATAAGTGGGAGCCAGCCAGCCTTTCATAGACACGGTGGTGAGCTCGTGATGATGTAGAGCTTGGGGGAGGGAGTCGAGCCGAGGGCAGAGGTGTAGAAGTATGGCCGTCAGAACTTGGGAGTGAGGTACGAGAGAGAGAGAGAGAGAGAGAGAGAGAGAGAGAGAGAGAGAGAGAGAGAGAGAGAGAGAGAGCCAGAGAGAGAAATGGAAATTGAAGCTACGAACAAACATGGCACAAATGATACCTCATCTAATTGAGAGATTTTGGCCACGAAACCTCCGCCCAGAGTCTAGACTCTCTTGCATAGCTTAACTAATAACATAACTCAAACCGAGGCCACCCCTCCGTAGAACGATCATACGTCCTGTCAAAGGAGGCTGTATGAGGTTCGCATCGCAAGCCTTACCAGGCCCCCGATGCCATGTATGCTATTCAATAACCAAGATTTAATCAAACCGCATGGTTCATTCATTACCACCGTCCGCCTGCCTTTGTCAACGTATCGCATTTTACCAGGTGGCCGTTGGCAAGTAAAGCACATCCTCGTCTCACGATGCAAACCAGGCAAAAGGGGAATATCAGTGTTCGTAACTTGGCAAGCCATCAATTGGTGCAACAGCCTACAAGTTGCAATGTGAATAATACAATAAATCCTCCGTGCCGCCATTTTTTCCCTTCATCTTTTTTCATCAAAAAAAGATAAAAACAGGTTATATCGACAACATTCCTCCCACCGCCGCCCTCCATTGCTCCTTAATTCTCCTCTTTTCCGTTTCCCATTCATCAGCCATCAATCCCCTCTGTATGGGAAAGGGGAAACATGTGAAATGGCGACAGCTGGAGAACAGAAAAAGAGACAACTACCACTGCCAAAATTTCACCAAGTTGCCCTCCTGGTCTGACAACCCATCAACACCATGGAAATGCCTCCCCTAACCCCCTTTGGATATGGTAAACAAAAATTGATAATTACATATTCAACCCAGACAGCGTGGCATGCGCGTTGTGTTGTTGGTGTTTGAGTTCTCTGCGATATTGGTATCACGGAAATGACTGACTGCGAAGGGAACGACCTGTCCCGGGTCTCGCTCTAAAAGAGGAATGTACAGAAGAGATGATGCTGAGAATGGAAAAGGAAAAGGAGATAGATTTGAGAGAACGGAAGACAGCGTAAGATAACGGAAAACCATGTTCACGAGCGGATGAAGATAATTACGCCGCCCGGGAGACATGCCATGTCTGCGGTCGTATGAGGTGTTTTGGAGTAATGAAAATAGTGTGCGCGTCGGATAGTAAGATGGATCGAGAGTGAGTTTGCGCGGGATAGTACGTGGGTGTGCGTGTTTGTGAGTGTGTAGCGAGAGAGGTTTGGTGATAAGTGTGAGGGATGTAACGAGTGGACTTTTGAGTGCTCTAAGCCGTCTATGCTGGAATGCAGAGGCCCCCGCCGAAAACGATGCTCCGGAAAAGACCTGGGTATAAAAAAGGACGGATCATGATTTTGAGTGTCGTGAAGCGCCATGGACGTGAGCGGAGCTCGCAGGTGTCGCACAATGGCCATTAGTGTCTCATCACCGCCATGGCTTCAAGGCATTTTTGTCGATTGAACCTAGAGACGATTTTGTTTGTTGATCTCGCCAAGGTTCAACCAGCTCATGTCTGAAGAGGTGGCTGCCAGGGCGAGGGGCGGCTGTTGGCTAACACCGTTGGGAGCACTGGTCTGCGTTTGCCTTTGCGGGAGGCTTGGAGCTAGTGACGTGGGGTAAAGGCTCTCGGCATAAACACTGCTTGGAGCGCGGTCCGCTCCCCAAGGCCTTGAGGGGCCGGTAGGATCCCATGTGTCCCGAACACTCTCGGGGATACCGCTCGAGTACCCTGAAGATGCGTTCGACGTGGGTCTTCGGGGGGATTCGATCTTGCCAGAGACTCCATCGCGGAAGGGAATCTGGTTCGAGTAGTTTGACACCGTCGGGCTGCCAGAGACGACACGGCTCAGTTCTGGCCGACCATCGTGCTGAATAGGCGGAACAGTGGACAAGTCCTGGGTAATTAGGTGCAGGGGAGGGACGGTAGCGGAGTCTTGCGTGATGCGGTTTTTGGGTGTGTTGGAGTAGTGAGAGGTCTCGGAATCGACGGTTGTACGCTTAGAGTTGCCGAATCCGAGAATGTTGAGCGCGCTGCCGCCGGACCAGTAACGGTTCCAGCCAGAGCTTCTGCGCGTCTCGCCAGCGCGACCAACCGGAGCTCCTCGCGGCGTAGGGCGAGGCTCGACCACGTCGGCGGCGAACGAAACACCCTTTTCATCGCGGGTAGGTGGTGCGAGGCCTGGTGCCTCATTCATCTGGGGAAGGGGCTTACCGATGGTGCTCTTGAAGAAGCTGTTGGATGTATCACGCTTGCTTCCACTGCGAGCAACACCAGCAGACTTGGGTGCGTTGCCATTGACCTTGCCCATCAAAATCGCCATTGAGGAGAATGATCCGGCCGAGTCTTGTTGCTGATGACCACGGAAGTGAGGAGCAGAGTTGAAATCGTCGTTGCCGTATCCAAGTCCAGCCTTCTCATCGGGGAAGCCCCTAGGGCTCATGCCCCTCGGGTCCTGGCCGCCCTCCACGTTTTGCTGGTTCTTTCCACGACGCTTTCGGATGCAGAAGAGGATCAGGCCGAGGAGAATCATGATACCGGTAATGGTACCAAGGACAATGCCAAGTATAGCGTTGGCACTGACTGCGGCGGGGGCCCCAGCAGCAGCAGCTGTCTCGGTGCTGGCAGATGAAGATGCAGAGGCGGAGAGAGTCGCGGCGGCAGACGCAGAGGCAGAGGCTGACGCCGACGCAGGAAGTGTAGAGATGGAGCTGGCCGAAGTGCTAGATTTGGAGCTGGAGCTCGTTGCGGTTGAGCTCGCAGTGGTGCTGCTCGTCGATTCGCTTGTAGCGAGAACCTCCTGCTCGTTCAACTTTTGGGCAGCATCTTCCCAGCTGTTTTGGCGCGCGTTGAAGATGCAGAGAACATCGTCGACGGCACCTGATCCTCCTGAGAAAACGACGGTTCCATCAGAACCCTGAGCAACAGCGTAGTTGGATCGCGTGCCTGTAGGCGCCAGGGTGCTGTTGTAAGCGGGCCAGTCGCTCAGGGTCAAAGATGCGCGCTTCTCAATCTCGCCCTCCACGCTGCGCGCCTTCGCCTTCGAGACTGCCTGGGAGTTGGTCACAGGTGCGCCCGCCGCGTCGATGAGGACCATGCGCTTGACCACGTTTGGCGCAACGGAAAGGTCAAATGTGTACAAACTCTTGCTTCCGTCGTCTCCGTTCATGATAATTGCGCGAATTGCAGTCGTGTCCTTCAGCAAGGGTTCCCCGAGGGTGGCACCCGAGTCGGTCCATTTCGTATCGGGGTTGAAGAGCATAACCTTGCTGTTTGTCGTGCTGCCTCCAATGACAACTGCTTGTGTGTCGGACCATGTCAGAACAATGGGATTGACGACAGGCGGTGCTGATGATTCGTAGGCTCGGGTGCTGTAAGGCGCGGATGCTCCGACAACAAAAGTCTGTGTCGAAGGACCAGAGTAACCATCCTGACTGCCACCGTACATGATAATCTGGTCAGTTCCAGGGAGATATGTTGCTCCGTGGAGAAGACGGTCCTGCGTGACGTGGTCCTGTGGTGAGATGGACTCCCATTTTCCTGTCGCGTAGGTGAACTTTTGAAGTCCATGATAATCTGTTGACGTGCCCTTGCCTCCTACAATGTACAAGCCGGCCTTGCTAGCATCGGTGGGGTTGGAGCCAACGCAGACAGCACCTGTCACTGCCTCACCTTGCGCCAAGGTCTTCCATTGGGCTCCTTCTTCGAGCGAAAGCGACTGGAAAGCACCGGAGGAATATGTGTAAAGAACGTTGTTGTAAATGACCGAACAGATGTTGTCCAAAGCGACTTTGGGCTCGGGGAGCTTCATCGTGATCGTGCCCTGTGCTGTGTTTTTATGAATAGTGAATGTTGTCGTCGAGGTAAACGGGGTTTCGGGGTTGAGTGGGTAGATTGCGTGTAGTCTACAGCATATCGTTAAAATGCCTGTAGAATTGTTGGGTTTTGATGTGGTTCCTCACAATGGAAAAAAAAGGATGGTCCGACGCAGACGGTGAGATGACTGCTGGCAGATGGTCTACTCAGCAATGGTCCAATAATCCAAACGCAACAGCCAGCGCCCTCGAGGCTTCCAAACGGTCGAAATATCGAAGTGAGTCCGGTCGGCTGATCCTTGGCTCGCGCGACGGGAAGGCGAAGATGAAAATTGAGCGGAGATCCTAAGGGAGGAAGAGACTGAGCCGTCGAGGTCGAGGTGGACGGGAAGTGGTTCCCTTGTCTCGGAGTTTGATCTGCAGAACAAAGTTTCTGGTGTTTCTCGACAGACGGCTAGTTCCAGACAAACAAGAAGGCCAGGACAAAAAGGTCGGACGGTTGGGTAGAAGGGAAACAAGAAGCTGTTAGTTCTCCCGAGTCCTGAAGGCCTTGGTGTCGCAGGTTTTGGGTGTGGCCAAGCGGGTGGCTCGTGGTCGTTGGTCGGATTCGTTTGTATGTGTGCGAGTGTGTCGTGGATGTCGTATCGCTCTCGGGCTATTACTGCAGCTCGTGTCGGTCGGGTCGGGAATTTCGGTGGAGGAGGGATAAGATGGGCAAATTGCCGCGTCTAGGAATCGAAGAGGATATTGCAATGAGCGACTCTGTGTTGTTTCTGTTCTTTCGATCTCGCGAGATTCAACGTTCCAGACGATGAGTAGCAATTCCACCTCGAAAGAGCGAAAAATGCACACACGGCACCAGAAGGAGAGAAGGAGGAGAGGAAAACGGAGACCAAGGGAGAGACCAGCAGAGCCAGAGAGGAAGAGAGGCGAATGGAAAAGAGTGGTACCCTCGCTCACCCTCGTCCGACTCTCTCTCTCTCAGAGCAGTCGAGCGCAGCACCAGCAGCAGTAGCAGCACCAGCACCCGCAACCCGCAGCAGGAGTCGACCAGGTACAGCCCAAGTTG